CTGTATATCTGGGACTCGTGACGTCACTCTCTGACCCTGAGGACCTTGGGACAACGTCGTCAGCACCAGATCCTTTATCGACATAGAGGAGTGCCCCGACCAAGAAGCGTTGTTTGGCTAGCGGATAAAGATGGCTGAAAAAGTTAAGGTCGACATAAAGCCTCAAGATGTTGACAACTCAATAATGTGGTCACAAAGAATGCAGCTTCTCTTGACACACACGAAGTTGTAGAGGAACCACGGACCCGGCCGGTAATGCGGAGAGGACCGAGGAAGCGACTATTAGCCGGGCACCGCTTGAAGATTCTCGTATGTTGCAGTCGAGACCTGCCCTGTGTTGTCTCGAACTAGTCATGCTGCGTATTGTTCAAGCGAAAAGACGAGAAAGTGCCTGCATCCCGTAGATGTCTAATTGAAGATACTCCGGCCGACCAGGCACCAAAGTGGAAGTATGCGAGTCGGACCACTGAATCGGTTGGTCGCAATGCGGGCAGTCCTCGTCCAGTCGGACCATGCGGCGTCTAACCTGGTGCCTAGCATTTCGTTTTAAAATTCGGTGATTGTGTTCAGTCGTATTAGATATATTTTGATTAGCTAATCACAATAATACGGCTAGAGTTCAGAGCGACGTAAGGTTTCGACTCAGTGAACGCCGACGTGCGTGCAAGGAGGCTAGGCGGTTGAGAGGACCGTCAGTGTGAGCCGTGGATGAGTAATCGTACGGCACATGTGTAGTGTAACCTAGGCTAGTAAGCCTAGTAGTGTGTGAGTTAGGCTAGTGAGACTAGTAGGCTAGTGAGCCTAGTGGAACGAGAGAGCCGTGAGACAAGAGTAAGGAGAAACACTATTGTCATACATTAATTTCAAATGAAGTTTGTGGAGAGAAGGAAGCCGCTTGTGAGGCGCTTCGTGTGTTCCTCTTGAAATGCGTTGCTGCCATCAATGAGTGGTGAGCATCAGTGCCTGGCACTGCAATAAAACCCAATGCTGAGTGAAACCTACACAAATCTAGCCCAAAATCAACATTTCCGCCTACACGAGACTTCCTTCGCAACCGTTTGCGGCCGCCAGCCCGCTCACGATAGGCTCTTTTTTAGGGCTTGATGCGCTGCCGATATCTGGCCCTGTTCCTCGGCCTGCTCTCCAGCATGGAGGCAGCCACATGGAGCCCAAAACATGGCCCCTCTTTGGGATTGAAGGGAAACGGCATCCCCGTGGCCCCAATGGGGCAAGTGCTTCCAGCGAGCAGCGCTGGATGCGGCTTGCAACAGTTGCGCCTTTGGGGGTCCTCAACGTGTCAAGAGACCGGCTTAAGTAGTACGGCCGCGCTTCTCGCACAACTCTTCTCCATCTTATCTGCGGACGAAGTTGTGTCGCTCTGCCGACGTTGACAATAACCACTTTTCGCCGAGTGATCGTTTACGACGATTCGGGTGTGATTAGACAAGACGCAAATTCTTGCGGGGCATGACCGTGATTGTGCCACAGTTGATGTCAATGGCGCTGCAAAAAAGCGCAATACTACGATCGACGAGGGCGTTGCTGCTGACGTCGTCACCTACCATATTGCTATTTGATTTCGGCACCTTCGACGCCGAAAAGTTATTTATGAAACGTTTTATCCTTTCGGCAGACCTAGTGTTACCCGCTTAAAAGTACCATTATCGACCATTATCGCTCCAAAATATTTTCCAGCGGAATTCGGCAGGGCACATAATTATTT